ATAAGTTGCATTAATAAGTTAATTAGCAAGAAGTTCAGTTATTCTTAAATGGCTAGAGAATATCACAAGTACAATTTACAGTACATATACATTAAAAAAATTAAATTTGAAGTATTTTCTGATTTTAAATTAAATTTTCTTTGAAATATTTATTGTTTACACCATTATTTGTCGGTTTTATCAATAGGTTGAATAGAATCTAAATCAATTCTTACAACAGCCCCTGCCATTTTGGAACCATAATAGCCTTTCCAAAATTGTTTATCTTTGCCTTCATGCATAAAATTGATTTTCCTGACCCCCTTAGGATAATCAGTGAGACTCACAGATATCTAAAAAAGAGATAAAACGCATTATACATTAGTTTTAGGTGATCAGTAAACATACCTTGGTCCATCTTGGTTCTGACCACTGTTCACGTTCAAATGATTTATCTGCTTCTGCTAAATTTTCATCTTTTTCATTTAGTAAGATGAGTCTCATCCAGTAAGTGCTTCCACAGTCACCTCTGCATGTGACCCATTCACTGGCATGAATGTGGGGTTTATATTCATTTAATACATATAAAAATAGTTTACTCTTCAATTCTATAACTTGTTCTTTTATGCAAGCTGAAAATGAAGTAGCAAAGCAACTTGTATGTCCATTAAATTCAGGGACATTCACTGGCAATAGATTAGAACCACATGGTCGTTCTTCTACCCTAAAACCATCCCCTCCATTTGCTATTATATTCCAATGTTCAAACTGACTCTCTCCATTTCCATTTTTAATTAAATTGGTGTCAAAATAATTCATAGCAAACAAACAGTAAAACAGATACCAGGGTAGTTGTTTGTGGATAATCCTGTTGTGTTTCTCACTTACATTTACCCAAAATAGATGGGATCTTGTGATGTTATACCAGTTTTTACAAACTAAACCCAGTTTTAGTATCTCTTTGGGGTCCACATAGCTTAATATCTCTAATATCATTTCTTCAGGAATAGTTCTCCCCAATAGAATAAAGCCATTATTTTCATCATTGTCTACATCAAATTCCTTCAAAAGTAATGGTATTTTTTCGTTTCCACCCATCATGGAGAAATACCTCTTAAAGTGGTTTGTGATGTTTGTGATATCCAGCTTGTCTATGTATTAAACAAATGATGTAATTTGCACTTTAGTATTATAGACAGATGGATCCTTATTTATTACTTAAAACTTATGTTTTGTACATCAGCGAATAAAAATAACAAAAACAAGGAAAAACAAGAGCACGAATACAGACCGATAAGAAAGTGAAAATATTTTTAGGTTAATTTATGGTTTTTAACCTTACTTTTTGTAGGTGTCATCAGTATCATTCCATTTGATACAAAAAGAGAATATTAAGAGAATAAAATAGTAAACAATGACTACAAATAAAAAAGAACTGGAAAATGAAATACGTACTTTAAAGGAAATACTATACCAGAAAGAAAAGGAACTGGAACAATTAAATAAAGTGTTTGTAAGGTTACCTTTAATTTTGTAGAACTGTTGTACACCACTATATTCTAGGAAAAGAGTAGTAATTTATCACCCTCAGAGATCTCCAGGTATAGTAGACAAATAATATTGCCTTCTGTTGGAGTTGAGGGTCAGTTAACATTAAAGAAAAGTGCTGTCCTAATTGTAGGGGTTGGAGGGCTAGGATGCCCTGCTGGTCAGTATTTAGCAGCTGCAGGAATAGGTAAAATTGAGAATTACTCTTAAGTATTCCTTTATTTTAAGTTAGTTAATTTTTAAAGGTAAATTAGACATATTAGACAGTGATGAAGTTGAGATCACAAATTTACACAGACAAATCCTTCATGTAGAAAGGAACATAGGAGAGACAAAAGTAAAGTCTGGATATGACTCTCTGAAAAGGTCTAATAAAAGTATAACATTGATGTTAAATTGAAAGTAACAAGTTATTTTTCTTTTTAGGCTAAATAGTAATGTAGAAGTAAATCCTTTGGAGTTACATGCAAATGGAGAAACTTTACAAAAAGTGTTCTCTGAAAACAAATACGACGTTGTTGTTGATTGCACAGATAATGTAGCAACACGATATTTGTTAAATGATATGTGTGTATTTAACAAAGTTCCTTTGGTATCTGGCAGTGCTTTACAATTGGAAGGGCAGCTGACAGTCTATAATTACAAAAAGGGGTTGTGTTATCGTTGTCTATTTCCAGTTCCCCCTCCTCCTCAAACTGTAACAAGCTGTGGAGAAGGTGGAGTTTTAGGAGCGAGTAAGTTTATTCTAAATATTTCTGTTAATTTTAGAATAAGCGACAGCAGAGTAATATAAACTTTAAAATTGTTTTACAAATTGTTAAGTTGCCCTATTGCTAGTTTACATTATTCTGGTTAAAACAAAACCAGTTGTTTTATAGCACTTCATTGTAAAAAACACTATTTTTTTTAAATCTGAAATAAGAATACAAATTAATATTAGGGGTGGTTATATATGCTAATTTTTTCATTATAATTAGTTATAATCTGTTTGAATGACGTTCTTATATTTTTATATTTAATAATCTAATTCAATACATTAATAAAAGTAAATCTTTAGTTCCTGGAGTAATTGGTGTCCTGCAGGCATTGGAAGTGATAAAAATTCTCTTGGACTTCCCAGGAGTGTTATCAGGACGATTATTAATTTTTGATGGGTCTGACACAGTATTTCGGAATATTAAACTACGCCAAAGAAATCCTCAGTGTGTAGTATGTGGAGATAATCCGGTCATAACGAAACCAATCGATTATGAGCAATTTTGTGGCTCAAAAGCAGCAGATAAGGTTCGAGAATGATATTAATTTTAATGTTACATTAATATATTCATTACTTAGGTGACTGATATAAAAATACTCAACTCTAACGATGAAACAGATGTGAAAGAATTTAATTCAATTACTAAAAAAATTGTTATCGACGTACGACAGGAGGCTGAGTTTCAGATGTGTCATCTTCCAAATTCGATTAATATTCCATACAAAAATATAGTTAAAGGCATTAATTTGGAGGCTCTGAATGAAATTTTAACTGGCGTTAATGATAATGAGAAAGGTAAAGATGGTAAAGTTGCATTTTGACTTATTTGTAATTTAAAGTTGGATTCTTTTGCTTTTAGTTTATTTCTTGTGTAGAAGAGGTAATGATTCCCAGAGGGCGGTTTCTTTGCTAAAAGAGAAATTTAACGATTCTTGTGCCATATTATTGAGTGTTGCAGGTGGATTAAATGCTTACAGTAAGTTAATTGATCCATCATTTCCATTATATTAGTGTTAGAAACTGTTTCAATCCAATTAAAAAATAATTCAGTCGAAAATCGTAAAAAATGGTTGTGATATTTGTATCTTTTACTAGTATTAAATTATCATAATGTAAAGGTCATTAATCTTGTAACTCCAGATACAAATAACAAAGATGAAATATTTTATTGTTTTGTGTACATGCATAGCATAGCTTTTTTAAACAAAGTAATTTAATTATACTGACCAGTTTATTTTATTTGCATGTTACAATAAAAAAATTACTGCATCTCAATGTATAATACTTACTTTTTTAATTAATATTTTCTTACGTTCTTATTTGTAGATTTAAAACTTTAGTCTGTTTATTATTTTTTTTATAAGCACAGGGTGTATTTATTTTGTTGTGTACTGTAAATTCGTCACACAAATTGAGGATATTAAATTAGTGCTGATTAACTCTAGATTTCGTAATTACTACCTATTTCTGGTCATAATAATTTCCTTAAAACCTACTTATATTATTCCTACAAATTTTCATGATTAATCTAATAGTTTTAAATCTAACCTTTACACCTTACGTATCTGATTGGAAAGTTGTACAGATTATCATCAGATTATATTTGATGAATTGTAGTGATTAATGTATGTTGCTTATTATAGACTATAAAGTTTGTTTTTATCAGAGTTCTTGCTGTGAGTAAATGTAACTTATTGGTTTCTATAATTTCACAATTTTTTAGGTAAGTTTTGGAATGCTTTGTTTTACTTTGTGTTTTTTAATATTTTCTTGGTGAAATCATTTTTTTTTGTTGTAAAATAAAAGATATACTTGGTGATTAACTTAATGTAAAATTAAAGCAAATATGTATTTTAAAACTTCAATATCATTATAAGTGAAAGTTTTTTTTATTTGTGGAAATATTTTGAAGTAAGAACAAATTAATTAGTAATAAATGTATTTAAGTTTCAATAGTGTTTTCTTTTTTTTTTTTCTTTTTCAGTTAGCTAATATTTGGTCAACATCCTGTATATGTAATTGCCACTCTTCGTCTTATTGAATGCATGAGGACACCATGCGTCCATATTGTTATCGTTTTTTGACCTTTTCTCAATCATTCGTAGATTGACACGACACGGTTGAACCTTGTCCTTATCGTAACCTTCGATTCAGTATCAACTTATTTTAAGTTTTAATGAGAAAAATAACATAATAATTTGTATTAATCGAAGCTATGGATTCACGCATTGCGTCGATTTCTACATGGGAAATTTTCAAAATTTATTCGTTGTCCTTCTTGTGCGGCATTTGGGTGTATTTTAAAAAAATTATTGCGGGACTGATAAAAACTGAGTCGTCTTCGAAAAATTTTCGAGATAAGCCACCCAGTTGCCTTGTAGAATCGTCTTTTGGGATACACAATTACGTTAAAGTTAGGGTAAGTTTAGAATTTAACACATAAAAAGTAAAATATCGAAAGTGCTTCCTTGATTCGCCCTATTGTTTTTAGGGTACGAAATTTCATTATGTGGAATCGGGCAGCTCACAGAGTCCTTTCCTTCTTCTCCTCCATGGTTTTCCGGATTGCTGGTTGAGTTGGAGGTATCAAATTCCAGAACTCTCGAAGTATTTTAGAGTTGTTGCTGTGGATCTGAAGGGGTTTGGAGATTCTGATAAACCAGTTAAAAGTAAGAGTTATTCAATTGATGTTATTTTGGAAGAATTAAAAGAGTTAATAACATCTTTTGGGCAATCAAAATGTACTGTAATGGCCCACGATTTGGGAGCACTTTTGACTTGGCATTTTGTACATAAATATCCTGATATGGTAGAAAAGTTGATTTTAATATCAACTCCTCACCCTAATCTTTACTGGGACAATTTGCCGTCCCAAAGCAACCTAAACTTAAGCTGGTTGTGTTTTCTACAAATTCCTCGACTTCCTGAAGCAGATGCATTGAAGGACGATCTTAAAATAATAAACAATTGGCATTCTCATTTGCAGGAGAAGGATGTCTTTTTAGATGCTTATAAGTACACCTTTTCACGTCCAGAAGACTGGATAGGACCCTTTAATTATTTCCGAAATCTTCCTTTTATAAGGATCTGTGATATTTCGAGGCAGATAGAGAATATGACTCTTCTGGTTGTCGGTGGTAAGGATCGAGTAGTTTCGTTGGAAAGTATCGTGAAGTCGAGCGAGTTTTGTGAAAAGTTCGTTGTGAAAATAGTTGATGGTTGCGGTCATTTTCCCCATCAGGAAAACCACCAAGTTTTTAATAACACAGTTATCAACTTCTTAAAAGTGAAACGTCCCATCGAAAAAAATTTAGAACGATCTCCATCGAAAAGTCTTGTTAACAAAATGTTTGGTGCTGTGTCGTCTACAGTAAAATATGGAAATTCGGTCATTGATAGTGTACAAAAACGCACAAACGGGGTTGTTGGCAATATACCAACCCTTGCGTTCAGTTTAACGCAATTTCCTGGGGTTGCTACGAAAAGTAATATTTCATGAACTATGATTCTTAGGAATCAACTAAAAGGCAAATATAACCGTGTAGTTGTTCTAGATCTGATGTAAGATTACTAATTTGTTAAAAAAAAATAATAAGAATTTGTGCTGACAATCGTTCTTGTGAGGATCTAAAAAGAAAGACGAATTAATTTCAAAAATTAACATAAGAAAAAGTTTAGTGAATGGAAATTACGTTATATCTTAATTATTTAATTAGCCGTACATGTAATTAATTGATTCTATAGAACTGCATTTTTTCGAATTGATTTGTTATTTACATTTAAATAACAAAAATTGAAGTGATATTATATTTTTTATCTGATTTCCATTATTTATTATTGTTAATACACTGTTTATTGTTTTATTATAACTTATGTTTTTTAAAATATACCATTGCTCAATTTAAATAATAAGTAAGATTCTATTAATGTAATTAAATTTTGTATAGTTTTATATAAATAAACGTTTAACATAAATTTTCTTTTATTTCGTTTTCCAATATTTACATACAAATATTAATTTTATATGAACAGCCGGCCTTTAATTAACCACTTTGACCTACGAGGATATGAAATTTTTACAAAAATAATATTATGCTTTTAAATAATCAATATCAAATTATTTTTTATCTGTAATCACGAAAACATATTTTTGGTGGGCATTTATAAGTAGCCAGTAAATATTAAAATATTCAGGCAAGTATTGTTTACATTTAATTGATAGTTTTTATTTTATAAACTAGACTGTAAACAATATTCTGTTTGTTTCAGCATTCCGAACAATTTTTCTAAGAAAAATTTCTTGCAAACCACTGCCAGAAGAATCATTGGAAAGGTAGGATTATTCTTTTTATCTTTTTTCTTTAATTTAAAATTAATTTCTCCCTTTTAAAACGAGTTTAAAGTATTAAAATAAATTAAAGGTGCTGTGAGGTATCAGTAAACAATTTTATAGTTGGAAATTACCGGTGAGCACTTTCAACCCCCAATTTGAAAACGTGAACGTGATTTATTATTTAATTAGTAAGTAGTACTTATTTTTACTTTTTTTTATACACAAAAGACAAGTAATTGGTAAACATGAATTTAAGGATAAGAAACACCCTCCTATTAATAAAATAAGCATCAGATCACAGTTTGTACAGCTTTTAACAAATAGTAATAAAGAACATTCAGAATCATTAAAGGAGGCATTAGCTTCTGAGTTAGTAGGGGTGTTGTTTTTAAAAACAGAAGGTCTTAAAGAAGATAGTCCTGAATTTGAAGAAGTCCTGTACAACTTTCCTATGCCTTATAATAAAAACATTTTATGTACGTCCAGGGGAGCTTTTTTAACTCTCAATCATTTAATTAATGAAATGGTATCTTCAAAGCCACATGTTTCCTCAATTAATTATAAAAATCAATTGGCACACGTAATTTATGTGTCATGTGGATCTAAACTACTGTTGTTTATGTTCCCTGATAAATGTTTGTCAGTTGAAGGTTCACAATTAGTTGCAGAAGAAATATTTCGAACAATTGAGTTCATGTATCAATCATTGGAGCGCTTTTTAGAGACGACGTCTTTAAGAGATGAAGTTGACCACTTCTTCTTGAGGGTATTTACTAGGATTCTCTGGCCAGACACCGTGCAATTTTCTAGCGATCCGAAAGCAAACAAACCGTGGAGATTTGAAGACTTATTATTAGGTGCCAAGTATCTTATTCTTCCCAATGAAGCCCAGATGCAGGTCGATGATGCCTTGTCAGAATTGGAAGCCAGTGATTATAGAGAATGGGTAAACATGTCTTTACATTTGTACATTTTTAAACTTAACAAATCTATTACCATATCTTAACATTATTTAGAACGAAGATCCTTTAGATTGTCAGAGATTGTTCACAATACTAGGCAGTGCCTTATATCATCAGGGATTTCTGTTAACATCCCATTTTGTTCACGATGACCTGATAGATGTTACAAGTTTCTGTAAACAGCAAGGACTCTTTTATTTATCTGCAACAGAACCTTTGAAATGTTTAGTCTTGTGGAAAGAAGTATTCCCGTCATCTTGCAATAGGAGCCTCCCTAATACTGAATCACTATTTAAAGTTCCTGAAGGAAAACGCTATTTGCTCGTTGTTGGGGGTGGAAAAGTAAGAATATGATTTTTTTAGAGAATAGGAGATGTCGAATTATTTTTTAGGACTTGTTGGCCGTTTTAATGGAAGCAGGTGGTTGTACTGAGACCCCTGAGGACAACATGGGTCCCGATCCTTTCTACGTCGAAGAAGTTGAAGCAACATTATCGCATTTAAAAGAATTAGGAATATCTGATGTTGCTGATCATTGTCTACAAACTAACCCAGGGAGTCAAATCGTTCTTCCAGAGGGTTTTTGTGAAAAGAAAAAAGCTGATTTCTTTTGTAAGACAATTCNATTTGTTAAGGTGTGTCGTATATACTTTACTGTAATTTTATAATTAAAAAAGACCGAGTTTCAGTTTCAACCCCTAATTTAAAAACATGGTTTTTATTTTTTGAACTTAGGTGTATAATGTGTTGTATAACTTTAAAAAGTTGGAAAGATTTACATTATATAATAAATATTATTTCAACACAGTAGCATACAACCGTGGTAGCGTGGCCGAGCGGTCTAAGGCGCTGGTTTAAGGCACCAGTCTCTTCGGAGGCGTGGGTTCGAATCCCACCGCTGCCAATAATTTTTGTTTCTTCAATTTTATAGTATTATTTGTTTATAAAATTGTACAAATTTATAGTGGTATAGGAATACGAATTATTATTAGAATATGAATGAAATAGCGTTACCTATGTTAATATTTTATTTTGCAACAATTGTTGAAAATATTTGTTTATTGATAACTTTCAATTAAATTTGCATATTGCAAGTTGGTGCTGATGACATTATTATAACATCCATTAAACTTTAATGAAAGTAGAGCGAGCAGAATTAAACCAACTGATAAAGGGACCGCGTGAGTTTGAAGAAGGGTGCCCTTTTTATATTGTTAACAATACATTTCCTCGTCTGTTTCTGATTGCAAATCTGCCACTGTTGACAGTCCCCTCTTGTAAAGATGAAAATTAGAGGAAGAAGACTGTTTCTATAAAGGGCCCACAAGTTGACAAGGGAATTAGGGTGAATTTTCTTTCCTTTTCGTTAAATTAAAATGCAAATTCATCAATAAAGCCAATAAAAAACTTTTTGAGTGGTTAGACACTCACAAGATAAAGCTTTCACCCTATTAAATTAAAAAAGAAAACGAAAACAAAGAAGAATCGTTTGTTTATTTCTTCTGCGTTCGACTTGTTGTTGAGCGCGCCCCGTATAACAAATTGTTTTACAATAGTGTTTTTTTATCCTTGATATCAGTCAAGATGAAGGACAACTCGCGCCAACTACAGGATTAATTTGATACCTATTTGTTTACTAGAGATGATTCATACAAAGAAGCGTCGGCATAACTAATCGCGTGGTACGGCATAATTACGAGAAGTTAATTAGTAGTGCATGTGCTTGTGCAATTAACGCGCCGCGTGACAAGATTGTTAACATTTGAATGCGATAATTGTGGTGATTGCTACTATGACTTTGATCCTTTCGCTGATTATAAAGCAGTAAGTGTTTTTTATAATAAGGCATTTTTAGTACTTTTTATTCTGACTTTATTTTCGCTAGAAAAATGCTAGAATGTTGGTAATAACTAGAACAATTTGTCAGATAGTTAAAAATTGACAACTTAATTAGTAATTACTGTGCTTATACAAAAATGCGAACAGATTTCGGATTAAATTATACTTAATATCAAAAAAAAGTAGTGCACAAGTAAATAATAAATTAAATTAATTGAAGGTAAATACATTTTCTAGAATTTATATAGATATGTAAAATATTTTGAGTTTAAAAAAAAACATTAATCATTTAATAGTGTTAATGTTTTTTATAATAACAATTTATAATATAAATACGGCGGTATGTTCTTTAACGATTTATTAAATGTTTTATTTCACAAAATGATCTGTGAAATCAAGGAAATGTTTTATAAATGCAAACAATAACTTAATGGTTGGATTTCACGATTAAAGGTAATTATTTATATATTTTTTTCTTTTAAATACATTTAATTGGGGTTTCGTACATCATAAATTCGTTACGTTTGAAACATTTAATCAAAATTTATCAAAATATTAGATTTAATAGGGTTGTACTAATGTTATAAAAGTTCCTGGATTGTCTATTTAGATTTTCAAATCTTTTAGTTTTTATTAAAATGCCTATTTTTCGACTAAAATCAGCACGCTATGATATACGGAAGTACGGACTGGTACAGGGATAAAGGTGTACCTATAAAAAAGCTGATGAAATTTTAGAACAAAATGCTTTCCTTTCTGGCTTTATTAGAAAGTAATAATCACAATTTTTTAGGAAAAGTGTATGAGTACTTTTTCCTTTTTCTATATAGAAAAATTACTAAATCTGGTAAGAATGGGAAGGAGGTGTCATTTTTGAATTTAGTGACTAGAATTGTGTATATGGAATAATTTAAAGAATATACTCAGAGTAAGCGTTCTGTGTTCCGATCTCTTGATAACCTATAGTTGAAATATATAGAGACAAATTATTTTTTTTCCGATATTTTTACTTCTTTCAATTACCTTGGACATTATTTTTTTACATGTATCACAAAATTTTAGTATCCACAACTATCAGATTAAATACGCAAGACCAAAACTTAACACGCTAGACCAAGACTAAGCCCGTTACTATATCAATAAGACCAAAACTAGAATCTGAGTAAGATCAAGACCAGGAACAATACCAAGACTGGGTCTCAGTCTTCCTTTGCTCATCACTGGTTGTAACATGCTACAAGTTGTTATTTACGCATTGTCTATAAAATGCTTTTTAAACTAAAACTTTTACGATAATTATAATCGAAAAAGCCAAAACACGAATTAAGCGATAAATAAGGAGATAGTAAAACAAACTGCGTGTAATCGTCGATCAGTATCCTGTCTCTTGGACGGGATCCATTAGGATTAATCGAAGGCGCACTGTGTTTAATGCACTCTGAATAGGTGTGGTTTACCTATAAGTCCTTCACTATTGTCGAACTGTCAGTTTGATCCATTTTCCAAAACCAGATGCACTTTATAAACCGTAAAAAACCTTTTCTTGTCACTCTTTACTGACGTTCAGGTTTTTGATAGCAACCATCCACATTAATATGCATGAATACGAGATTAAAAGTCATGTATGATAATATAATGTAGATATTTTTAAACGACCTGTCTTATTATAAAACAATCGCTATTTCGTGGTCGAAACTACCTTCTT